TGCACAGTCACCCACATTTGCACAAAATGTGGTTATAATCCTTTAAATGTGCGCAATTTGCACTTGAACACAATGAAAACGCATATCCTTACAGTTCGCTCGACGTAACTGTAAATGTGCCATTCCCATTCCATGGTATTTTTTTCATTCTATTTTGTTTTTTTTTTTATTTTTTCGTTATATTACAACTTTGCTGATATTGCCTTTTTTGAATAATAATATTTCAATTTTTCTGAATCCTTTTTTACTTTCATAATTTATTAAATATCTGCAGAATATCCACTTAAGGAGAGTATGGCATATGGTTTCGGTAGAGGCCTTAATCTCGTAAAGTCGTGTGATTTTGCTATTAAAGCGTTGGGGTGTCATAAATTCACAACGTTTATCCTGTTTCAGGTCAATAGCCTGTGAATGGAGAGCTTTTAGCCGCTACAGTTATCCGTATCTTTTGACAGAAAACTGTAATGAAGTTTTGAACAATGATTTTTCCTATTTCATTTTTGACTTTTACGATTTTTTTATTGATTATTTCAACTGTTGCAGAATTTTATTTTTGTTTTACTTTAAAGCAAAATGAGTGACAATTTATAAAATATGAATTTATATTTCAAACTATTGACAGTTTTTTTGGTGTTTAAATTAGTTGAAATCAATAGTATGTAGACGAAATCCACATTTCTAACTTAAAATCAAATAAAGGTCCAAGTACTCAATTAACGAAAAAGAAGTACCTAACATATTCCATTCTCGAACGATGTAGCGTATTATTCGTAATGGTTGCTTATCCAACCAAACTAAGCTAATACCGGATAGCATACCCACAACTAGAACCAATGTAGTAAAGACAAAATAGGCTTTAATATACATTTTGTATGACACCCAACATTTCCTCACAGAGTCGTTATGAACGACTTGTATTCAACGAGTTCGAATGGGATATCCAATTTAAGTTCATAAGGTCTCTAAATATTTACATATTTTGAGTTTGTGTAACTATTTCTTAGTGATTAGCGATGTATAGTGAAATTCAAGCGATGTAGTTATGCGAACGGAAGCCACTCTAGCTTTAACTTAATAACGACAACCGAGAATCGAAGGACGCAAAAGGACCCAAGTCGTTTCTTCGGCTCCACTTCAGTGGGGCCACTTGTTTGATGGTGCGCTGTTCCAACGTCCCATAATATATATATGTACTACACATTCATATTTGAAAACTAAATAAATAAATTTACTTGACCAACTAAATTTAATGAACTGTACTACAAAATTTAACTAAATTTAACAATTGATGATTGATTTTTTGTATGCGGGTAAAATGAATTGATGCTTCTTGAATTGTCCTATTTTGTCTGATTGAAATTGACTTTCTTAAATCTATTTATTGTCCTTATTTGTCAAAATGCTAGTCAATAATGAACATCAATATGTTTGTGGAAAAACAATATGTCACATTCATACAGTGTGTCTTCGTTTCATTTTATTTTCAGTTGAAGATAAAATATTTTTGTATGCAAATGTAATACCAGTAATTCATACGACGTGTATTTCATTGAACTCAAATAAAAGTTTATTGACAAATGCACATTTATATAAATAAAATATAACACAAACACATCAACCTACAACGCAAATCCTTTACTTTGTTTTCTTCTAAGACCTTTAAGCCTACGAAATTTGTTTTCTCTGCAACCAACCACTGAATTTGTTTGGTTTTGGTAAGAGTAGATAGTTGCCGTGTCATTTACTTGAGTCAATTATTGATTCATTTCTACCGGATGTTGAACTTCTGTACAAGATATTCACATACACACACAAAATCTATAGAATAACCCACATGCATAGTTGTAAACAGTTTTCCACAAAACCAAAATCCAGCGCATTGGCTCAATACTATTTGTGCGCCTTTTGACTTCGAACTAATGCTGTGGCTTATGGTTTTGCATAAATCCTTCCATGTGGATTAAGTCCAATTCCTGTTGCAAAATTTTACGTAGTAATGTTTTTTTTCTCTCAGGTTGAATTGAAATTTTAGCTAAGGTCTGTAAGCGAATTTGGTTAAAGCATAAACTGCAGACAACGACATTTGCCGAGAACGGGATGTTGCTTCCTTGTGGTTGGAAGCAATAAAATTCAGCAAAAAGGTTATAAAATGCAGAGGCACCGAAACTGATTTGAATGGAGCCAACCTCGTAACGAGTTGAATGCACCTTTTGGCAAGGTGTTTGGCCACAAGTAACCACAGTTGTGTGCTTACCCAAACGTTAATCTGTTTACTTAAACAGAAACATAAATAATATTTACGGTTCTTAAACCGGGGTTATGGGGTTGGTTTTTCCCTTATTTTGTTTGCTGTAAATATTGAATTATTTTGGGTATAAAATATTTTGTCTTATTTGTGAAAATTAATAGTTTTTTAATTTGTCTAATATTTTGTGATTAATTTCCTTTTCAAAATCTGTAAATATGTGTAAGAATACTTTTGTTGAAGATTGTGTAACATGGATATACTCAGAAGCGAAGCCAATACTCCTTATTCATTTTTTCTTTCAGTTCCTTACTTACTCTACGAGTTTCAGTTCATATTAAAACCAGTACTCTGCCAATTTAAAATCCATTTTTAATTTTTTTTAAAGAATATCAGAATAACATACTACTATTGTCGACTTTTAACATTTTTTTTTTATTTTATGTAGTTATAATAATATAGTAAAAACTCTTTCACGACTCTTACATTGGACAGTCCACATTGGACTTTAGAAGAAATGTAACGGGTGTAGTATATTTTATCATTTCTGCTCTCTTGAAAAAAGAGGTACGACACTTTATTTTCGAATTAGTTCAGATATAAGAAGATTAGTACACAAACCCGACTTAAATTATTAGATAACAAACGCATCACTTTCTCTAACCAGTTTTCTTCAAGACTGATAAATTCGTTTCAGCTTTGCTCTAACATTCCCATTCCTTTTTAATAGAACGATTTCTCTTTGTAATCAAAATACGCTCCAGTGTCACAAATATATCTTCAATGAAACCTAATTTTTTAAATTTATTATGACTATTTTTTTGAGATCTCAAAATAGTTAGTCGCTAAGGAACTAAAAGGTAAACTTAAAGGATACAGTGGATAGAGGACCGACTCAAGATACATTTGAGTCGACTGTGCAGAAGTTGTCATTAAGTTACCTTGGATATCGGACAATTTTCTCACTGGTTGGGCATAGTTATCTAATGTCTATTTTTTGAACCTTCTTCACTTTATCTGAAAAACTTTGTGGTTGAAAAATATAAACGCATAGAGCCTTATTAGAAACAATACCTAGAGTAGATACACTCCATTTGACAATTTTAAGGATATAACCTAACTTTAGCTTAAGTTCCTTCAGTGCCGCACACGTCTCACTCAATAGCATTTTTTTTTTAAATAATCAATACAAATTACGTCATTTTAATCTAGATTTTTGTCTAAAAGTAGTTTAATGTCCTAATTTTATATTTATAATACTGCATTAGTATAATTTTTTATTTCACTCTCTTTCATTAATAGTACCATCATTCTAATAGTCTATAAAAACACAAATCAATCTTAAGGTAGTGTTGTTAAAGTTGTAACAGTCGATGCTTGTTTTTGCACTGAACAATATCTAGAATAAATATGCATATATCTTAAGCAGCAATAAACAATTTCATCATGCCACTGGCTACTGAACCCAAAACAGGTCCATTGTCAAAACCAACTGCTGTTCAAAATAATGTTAATGTGCTACAAGGATACGACGTTGGGTCATAATTGCATCCAAGTTCCTAGAGATTTATGGTTGTCCAGGAAAATTTGCATACGTGAATTTTGAATAAAGTTGCTGCATTTATGATTGAGCACGTCTGCGTTGGCTTGACATATTTCGGTCTGTATAAAGGGATTTGTACGAGGTTATCCTCTCCACTTGTGCAAATTCCTTAAGCACAAATATGGACAACAGCTGTTGTTGACCATTTTGATTATTATTCTTGAAACAAAATTAATTCTTTCAAAAATAAAACTGTGAGATAGCAAAAAAATTTATTTTCAAAATAAAACATGAGGACTCAAGATATAAAACAGCTTATATAAGTTGAATAACTAAAGGTAAATAATAGATTTTGGTTAATATAAGAGAGAAATGTTTCATTTTAATTAAAATTCACTTGGATAATATATATAAAATAATAAATTATAAATAAAATATTTGGTCAGCTCAAAAATTTGCTAGATTGAAAAATTTTTTTTACACTCAAAACAAATTTTCTTATATAAAGTAAATTTAATTAATGAGTTAATTAGTAAGTAATTTAACATAAACCACGCAACAGAAAAATTTAAAAATACATTTTAACTTTTAGATAAGAAGTAAATTTTTGAAACAAATTTTTTAATTTCATTTCATTTTGAAAATTTCATATCCACAAGATACTCAGAAGCCATATAAAAAATCCATTTTATCAGCAATCTCTCTAATTTTCATTGTTCTATTAAAATTAAGGACTTTAATTGTTAATTAATTAATTGTTCTATTCACAAGTTTAATTCGTTTATTTTTTTTCAATTTTTTGTTATTAATAAAATTAATAAAATGTCTAGATCCTACGTCTTTAGTTTATTCTGAACCTTCTGAATGTTTTTTTTTTATAATTTATAAACCCGTGTTTATATTAAATAGAATATTCGGTAATATTCAATATCGTTTAAATTTCATTCAAACTCTCTAATCCTGCATTAGGGCATACAAAAATGAAGCTTCTCAGTTGTTCGATAATGAATGCACAAGCTACAGACAGTGCAACCAATACCAAAAAAGGGCTCTATTTAATAAACAACGACAGCCTTCGTACTCTTGTTACTTTTTGTTCACATCCTGTAGGTTTCTACATTTTTTTATATAATATTTTATATAATCATATTTTAATTACTAATACATGTTAATAACAATAACAAAATTATGTTCTTTGTAGTATGAACTCACCTGGTAACGTAATTAATAGTCCAAAACCGAACATAAGCCATCTCAGTGCGGCCATTGGCGTTTGTAGGAAACTCATTTTTAATGCCACAACCAAGTAAACTCTTAAGAATATTTTAAGAGGAAAATATTTTAATCAATTAACGAAATTATAAAATTTTTATGACTTCTTTCAGTTTTTCATTTTAAAAATTTCATTAATTTTATTAATTAGTTTTTAACTTTTATATTCTTAATTATCGTAGTATTTATGTTTGCTTTTATGTTTATGTGATTATACTAATTTTGTAAGTTTTCTTTAAAAAACTTTTCATGTTTCATGTTTTGTGGATGTTTTACCGAAACCCATTTTAAGTTGTGGATTTTTTATTGACAGCGTTTGGTTTAAGGTCAAAATTCAGGTCTGCCATCGCGGCTTCTTTTTATGTTTGATTTGTTGCAGTTTTGGGTCGTTGACCAAAGATACACAATCTGACACTGTGTTTTATTTATTTCAAAAAAAAAAAAAACCAAAAAGAAAGGAAAAAGTAATTCTGACGTCAAAAGTTTCTTGCACTTAAGCGATATCCTTTTTTGCTTGCTCTGCTGTTCTCTGTGTTGGCCTTTAGAGTGTTTCCGTCTGGTTTTGAAGAATTTTTAAGGATAGCAAATTTTGTACAAATGTTAGACTTGTTTTTGTATAAATTTTCTTTTTTATAATTATTGTTTTGGCAATGTTTTTTTTGTTTTTTTCCTGGTATTTTGTCTTCCTTAAGTGCTGTAGGTTGTTTGGGTTCGGGTTTGGGTTTGAGTTTTCATGACAAAAATTACTTTTAGGCGCATTGGGGATGTTAAGTGTGAATTACTTTAGTGTTCTCTGCTTTTATGTTAAGGATATGTTAATGCAGTTTGTGTTTTATTTAAATTATTTTGAGTGTTTTTTTAATAATTTTTTATCATATTTTATTTTAGTTATCTTATTAAATGGTTTTTATTGCACAAAATAATTTTTTTTTTACTTAATTTGAAGTTGTTTAACTTTTTATTTTCTTTATTGTGGAGATCCAATTATTTTAAGAATATGTATTTTCAGGTAAGTAAACCTAGTAAACCTGAAAAGAAAAGTTAAATATTAAAATTATTAAATATATATAATTTTATATACATTTATTATTCTTTAATTAAAAGTTGTGTAGATGTATTTTTTCGTATATGAGAAATAAATGCTGCGGTAGATTTGCCTGCTGACTTATCTAAGGATATCTTGACACAGTTGGGCTAATATCTTATTAAAAGCACACAACAACAAGGCCATCATGGCTTGTTAATAAGACTCGATATTATATTGTCTTAACTTTTTCGTTGAGATAGCGTTGCTGTCTTATCTGTATTAGTACGTTCGATTACGTCACAAATATAATATTCTTTCGTCATAACTGACTTCAAAAATAAAATTAAATATAGAAATATCTTCAGGATGTCATTGAAAATTGACGCTTTAATCAATTATTAAAAAAACTAAAAGTCTCTTTTTATGAATTATTTATTTCGGATAAATATTAATTCCAATAAATTAGTACAAACAACGCTGAAAAGCAGCATTATTCCACTTTCGCTATTAAGTGAAAGTGATCCTACTTGACAAGTCTGTAAACTTGACTAAGTCCCTACGTTTCCAGGATCACAGCTTTGTAAGATCGGCAAGCAAAGGGCTATCTCAAATGCTGTAGTTAGTTAGAATATGAGACTTCGATACAACCAACTGCATCAATCAGCACAGCATCTTTAAAGTTTGTTATGAATAATTGTTAATATAAAAATAAGTTACTCGCAAGTTTTAATCGAACGACCCTAACCTTAAAACATTTGTTTATAAATTGACAGTTTTAAGTTTTAAAGTCACCTACATGCAGTTTATAATTATATATGAATTAATTAAACCAAAAAATATTCTCAATCGCTACTGTTCATGGAGATTTGGCATGTTCTAAATAACTGTAAGATCAGAGATTAGACTATAAGAGAGTATAATTAAATAAAAATAAATATTTCTAGGTAGTGTTACTAATTAAATAAAAAGTGACAAAAAAACTTGAAACTTGAGCATTGAGAGTTTGTGCAGCTTTGGCTACTTGTTGTAAAACACGATTGGTCATCGCTTGTAATTTGACAGACACTAGTTCTAAGCCTGGCACTTGCTGTCCAAACAAATTATGTACGGACTATAAACTTATTAAAAAATTTGATTGTTTCCTAAGACCACTTGGCAATATTCGAAACGGTGTTGTATGGTCAGCCAAATTTTGATAAATTAAAATAAATTTTTGTCCTTGTGCTTTCTTTGCTATTCGAATCCGTCTAACTTTTAAATAGTTTCTTTTCGTGACAAAGACGCGTCACTCTCGGCAAGAAAAATTAACATTAAGACTAAGTAAGACTTTTTATATAAATAATATATAAGAATTTTTTTTTCATCATTTAAAACTTTAAAATTAAATTGTAATAAAAGTTATTTTTATTTGAAATTTTTATGTAGCAAGAACTGTGGCTTATTCCGACTGCAAGAATAACTCTTTATATGTATATATTTATTCTTTATTTATATGTATTTATTAATAAGTAAAATACTTTAAATTAATTCTACTCCTATATGAAAATAATGAATATTAAGTGCGAAACATACATTTAAAAATAATCATCTGGATAATCATAAATCTATCTTAAGTTCATTCAGAATGTCTTTAGAATTCATTACATTTTATTATAACCTGTAATTTTTGTACTATATATTTCACATAATACATACACACAAATGAAAGGATATTACTTCAGTTAGATTTTTTTTTATTATTTGCAAACAAATATTTATTTTGAAAATTAGCATATCCTTTACATTACAAAGAGTCCTTTTCAAATTTATCAATATGCAAATTTGATATACAATTTTGCTGTCCTTTGCAGCATTTTAGTTCTCAATTCAGTATCAGAATATGAATTAATATCCTTTTTTACATAGAAGGGTTGCAGCAACTTTGCTTAAAAATTTCGAAAGATTTTTATTGAGAGATAATAATTTTTGTTGTATCCTTATATCCTTATAGTTAAAGGATATCGAAAACAGAAAAGGTCATGGAATTTTGGAACGAAAGTGGAAAAAAAAACTAAAGATTACAATTTTTAATGAAGTACAAAATTTTGAATGTTCAGACATGTGTAAATCTATAAGTTTTTGATATTTACTCTTTCACATGAGCACGTTTCAATTATTTTTGTGTGTAAAAATACTTTGAATTACAAATGTTAATTGAATGATAATACCGAAGGGAACTTTATTAAATACAGAATTATACGATGGAATTAAAAAATATTAACTAAATAATATTTTGCTTTAAGTAAAATTCGAAATAAAAATAATAAACAAAAACAAACAATTTGCAATGTTATTTAAGATTTGAAGAACCCCAAAGAGCTATCAGAAACTGATATCCTTGTAAGACTCTTAAAGAAAATTAATTAACTAAAGCGATGCAGGTAGCGTTTCACAATTAAGAATATTCTCTTTTAATAGACAAAACCAAATCACTAGCGGGAAAATATAATGAGAGCTTTGGGGTACTGTAATGGACTCAAAGGTGGTCTAAGTGAAGTCTGAGACACAGATACACCCCTAACTTAACCTAAAATACTCATAAACAAACTTAAACATTTTTTTATTAAAATTTTTAAGCTGTAGCAGTCCAAAAAGAAAAACTCTTCGCACTCGAGCCAAAGATTTTAATAACTTCAACTTAGCAAATTTGAATACTTTCACCTCTCACATCAATGGTTCTATATGTGAAGGTTATGTATTCGTATGTTTCAGTTTTCGTATACTATATAGATTTTTTTGTTGTTTGAAGCAAATTTTTATTATTTATTTTACCTAAAATCATAAATATTGTTATTATTCAGTGGTCTGGAATAATGCATCCGCACATGTAAATACATTTTCCGAAGTATTTCAAAAGTTAACGTTACGGAAGCAATTTATCAACTTCGATTTGGTTTTTATAGTTTTTTTTTTGTTGCTTGGTATCCATTGTATATAAGGCACAAATTGTAAAGTAAATACAAAAGCCATTAGAATGAGTTTAGATGGAAATCAAAGTATCGGAATCGTGTCTGTATGTGATTTCTTCATACTTAAACTCATATTTGTGTGTTAAGAGCTTATAAATTTAGTGCAGGAATATATTGTTCTGTTGATTGTAAGCAGAATAAGCAGAATTTCGTAGAAATAACTTAAGGTATTGGATGTATAGCATTAGAATAAATTCATGGTAATTGCTTTTGCGGGTCTTGTATTTATCTTGAAAAAATTTATTTTAATAGTATTTATCGCTATAATAGAAATAACGATTTATTGAGTTTGTTATTATAGTGAAAAATATATATAAATATACAGTGCTGACTCTAAACTTCAAATTTGGCAGGGCACGAGTTCGATTTCTGGTACTTGCAGTCTCAAAAAAAAAAAATAATTTTCGAATAATTAAATACGATTATTTTCAAGCTCACTGATGATGGATATTTGGCAATACTTTAATGAAAGACAATCTATCTTTCGTATTTTTGAATCCTTATGAACCATGTAATACCCTCCTAGGTGTTTCTTCCGGTTTTGCATCAGTGTCGGGCACTCCCTAAACACATAATTTTCATTTTCTTTCTCTTCTCTGCAATATCTTCGATCTAAGTTGGATTGAATTCATTAGGTGATTACTTAATCTACAGTGACTGGTAAATAGTCCCGGTATGATTTTTAGGTTATTTTTGGATTGTTCTATTCAAATGAGGCAAATAATTTGCGGATATGTTTCTTTCAAATCAGTTAAAAAAGTGTTGGAATACATATTTTCTTACTATATTTTCTTTTTTTTTGCAGATGAACCGCCATTCACTGTGTCAAATAGGGTTTTGTCAGTGCAGGCTATACTTCTGAATTATAGAAGTATTTCAAATGTATCATTCAATATATATTTAACGAGTCTTTACACAGTACGATGCGACTGAAGTCATTCTTATTGTGTACTGATAAGAAAAATAGAGTTATGTAGTAAAGGTGACTCTTTGTGATAGTATTGGTAAA